ATCCTCACACACACCCCCACACCAGAAATGGGGCGCAAACCTTCGCGGAGGGTAGCACCCCCTGGTGGCTGCCAGAGGCGCTGTCGGGCGCCCTCGGGGTGAGAACCAGGACGCGGAGCGCTGGGGTCCCGCCCCCGGCTCAGCGCCCGGGCCGCCGGCCGCGCTCCCCACAGGCCTCTACGGCACCGGGATCCAGTCCTACTTCACCTTCCTGCGCTTCCTGCTGACGCTCAACCTGCTGACCGTGCTCGTGACCGCCAGCTTCGTGCTGCTTCCCCTGGCCTGGCTGCGCCCGCCCGGCCCGGGCCCCGCCGTGAACTTCAGTGAGTGCCTGGCCCACGAGGGGCAGCGACGGGGGCCCACCTGCAGCCTGGGTGTCCTCCCGTTTGGGTCCAGCCCCGGGACCCCACCTGACCAAGGCCTTTGCGGGCCGTGCCTCCTGCAGGTCCTCAGGGCCTTTCTCAGGCCTCCGGGGCAGAGGGCTATGGAGTGGAGAGGGGCCCATCCTCACTCAGGCCTTGGGACCTTTTCCTGTTGACGCTCTCTCCCTCCTCGACAGCCCTCCAGTGCCCTGGTGGACCCCAACCCCAGAATGACCTTCCCAATTTCCACAATCATTTCTGGAATGTGTTGACTGGCAGAGTAAGTGGGCTTCATCCTGGCTGTGACTCTGGAGGGCTGGGGAACCCAGGGAACTGGCCTCAGGGGACCCCAGTCTAAGTGGACCCCATCTCTCCAAGGACATTTAGGTTTTAGGGGGACAGTCTTACATAGACAGGCTGGCTGGGCTGTGGCCTCTGCCCACAGCCCAGGCCTAGGGGCACATGCCCACAGCCCTTGGGCAAGTTGCCTAACCTCTGAGTCTCTGCAAAATGGGGGTACTCTTACTGCCTGCCTGCCAGGGTTCTAGAGGGAGTGAATGAGTGCTTAGCATACAGCCTGGCAAGGACTCGAGCTCGGTTGTCCTCACTCTTGTCCCCAGGCCTTCAACAACACCTACCTCTTTTATGGCGGATACCACGCGGGGTCCGAGGGCAGCTCAGTGTACAGCATCCGCCTGGCCTACCTGCTGAGCCCGCTGGCCTGCCTGCTGCTCTGCTTCTGTGGGACCCTGCAGCGGTGAGAGCAGGCCACCTCCCCCTCTCGCAGGGGCCCTGTCTTCCCTGCTCACCCTCCCTTAGCATAGTACCCCCTCCGCAAGTTGACAGGAAGGTCCTGGCTCTGGTCCAGTAAGGTTCATAGGTGCTTCCAGGGTCCAGACTCGGTGCCCCCAGCTGCGGACCTCAGGGCTACCGGCCACTGCCTCTGTATCCGCACCCCCCACCCAGGCTGAGGCCAACGCCTGGCCCCAGGGCTGCCAGGGGCTTCCCAGCCCAGACCCAGAGCAGCTGGCAGGCAGGAGGTGCCCCTCCCCCACAGGCCCTGCCTCCTGCCCCTCCAGGATGGTGAAGGGGCTGCCCCAGAGGCTGTTCCTGGGCCAGGACTACAGGTCGCCGCTCAGTGCCAAGGTCTTCTCGTCCTGGGACTTCTGTATCCGGGGGCAGGAAGCCGCCACCATCAAGAAGCATGAGATCAGCAACGAGTTCAAGGTGTGTGAGGGCGTGTGTGAGTATGAGTGTGCCCACGTACATGCACGCGGGGTGCTACACCTGGAGGCAGAGGCTGTGCGGGTCTGTAGGTGTGAGCGCTCACCTGCTCACCTGCACAGTGCAGGGAAGGGGTGGTCTAGATAAAACCAGCTGCCACTCCTGGGCCTATCCCTGCCCGAGTGTCACCCAAACCCTGCCTAGATCCTTGCAGCCTGTCTCCCATAAACATTGACCCCCACCTTCATGCACCCCCCAGCCTGGGCCAGCCCTACCTGCCTCTGCTTCCGCCCCACAACAGGTGGAGCTGGAGGAGGGGTATCGCTTCCAGCTGATGCAGCAGCAGACCCGGGCCCAGAGAGCCTGCCGCCTGCTCACCTACCTGCGGGTCAACCTCCTCATCGGGCTCTTGGTGGTCGGAGGCATCAGCGCCATCTTCTGGGCCACCAAGTTCTCACAGGACAACAAGGAGGTGCCAGGCAATGGACATGTTTATTTAATCCTGGCCAGACTGTGGGAGGAGACGGGATGGTCCCACTTTGCAGATGAGGAAACTGAGGTTCAGAGAGCCATGTGCCCCAGGTCACAGCCCAGTCAGACTGGCTCACCCTGTGGATGGCCTCAGCCGCATGCTGCCAGAGCCTATGGGCTTCCAGACACGGCCTGCCCCAGAGTTACCCTGTGGGGGGTTTGCGGGAGGGGAGCTACTGGGGCCCTGCAGCCTATGTCACCCCTTCCCTGCTTTTCCCCAAAGGAGCGTGTGTTTGTGCTACTCCAGTACCTGCCCCCTGGGGTCATCTCCCTGGTCAACTTTCTGGGCCCCCTGCTGTTTGTCTTCTTGGTGCAGTTGGAGAACTACCCTCCTAACACTGAGGTCAACCTCACCCTCCTCTGGTGAGTGCCCCCCTCCCTCCCAGCCCCCCTCAACAGGAGAACCACTGTTAACAGCCTCCCATGGCTCAGTATTGAGGACTCCACACTTACATGTAACATGCATGGATGGCTCAGGGCTGGCCGTCTGCCTGCATGAGCCAGTGTGCACTTAGAATTTCTCAGGCAGATGCAGGCACATGTCTGTATACATGAGGCAGTGGGAGTGCGTGGGGGTGAGTCGCAGGAAGGATGTGCTCACCCGCAATAGGGTATTAAAGGCCCATCTAGGCCTGTGAATCTGCAAGCGGGGTGTCGGGGAGGATGGCTGGGCTGTGCAGCGTTCCCCAAACTGATTTAAAAACAGAACCCCTCTCCCATGAATCATCTGGAGACCGAGATTCTGGGGAGCACACTTTGGAGAACATGGCCACAGACAGGGCAGATCAGAAGGAGGCTGGGCTCAGGAATTAGCAGGTGCACCTGTGTCCTGGGCGCCCCCCCTGACTCCGCCCCACCCCCAGGTGTGTGGTGCTGAAGCTGGCCAGCCTGGGGATGTTCTTCTTCTCGCTGGGCCAGACCATGCTCTGCATCAGCGGAAACAAGACCAGCTGTGAGTCCTACGGCTACAACGCCTGTGACTACCAGGTGGCTCCATCAGGGCCTGTTCCTTTGGGCCTCTCCCCACCTCTTTGATCTCCCTGCCCCTTTGATCTGGTCTCTCTCCTGGTCTCACCTTGGTGAGAGGCTGGGTTGAACTTCCCATACCACAGGGCACCTCCAGGGGGTGCTGTTGGCATCACACTGCGCAGTGCGGAGCCGTGGCCCTGGTTGTCGGGTTTCCCTGCATAAATCTTATCCTTGAGGCCCGGGTTTTAACTCAGCAGTCTTAGACTCCCCGCAAGGCTCCTGTCCACAGACCCCCCAGTGGGTGGGTGAGGGGTGGCAGGGACTGCGGGTGGTGACCCGGCCGCTCTGCACCAGTGCTGGGAGAACTCCGTGGGGGAGGAGCTGTACAAGCTGAGCACCTTCAACTTCCTGCTCACCGTGGCCTTCGCCTTCCTCGTCAGCCTGCCTAGGAGGTGAGCCACGCGGGACCCCCGGGGGGCGACCTGGGCCTGTCTGGGGATGGCCAGTGGCTGCGGCCAGGGCTGAGCGGTTCTACATGCGTGTGTCCGTGTCACCGAGTGTGGGATGGTCCGTGGCCACACGCTCCTCCCCAGTGGTGACACGCGGATGCTCCCTGTGCCCAGGCTGCTGGTGGAGCGGTTCTCAGGCCGGTTCTGGGCCTGGTTGGGCCGGGAGGAGTTCCTCGTGCCCAAGAACGTGCTGGACATCGTGGCGGGGCAGACGGTCACCTGGATGGGCCTCTTCTACTGCCCCCTGCTGCCCCTGCTCAACAGCGTCTTCATATTCCTCACCTTCTACATCAAGAAGGTGCCGGCTCAGGCCGGGAGGGAGCAGGGTGCCCCTGGGTGGGCTCCTGGGTGGGGCTCACGTTCTGCCCCTGCGCCCCTCGTGCCCCCAGCATCACTTCCCTGGGCCTTGAACTCTGTGGTCTCTGCAGATGGGAGCTAATGGCCCCCCATTGTTGCTTGCCCCACAGCACACCCTCCTGAGGAACTCCAAGGTGCCCCTTCGGAGGTTCCGAGCCTCTAGCTCCACTTTCTTCTTCCAGCTGGTGCTCATTCTGGGCCTGCTTGTGGCCACCCTGCCCCTGGGCTACGTGGTCAGCAGGTGAGGGGAGTCGAGGGGCCAGAGGCTGAGGGACAGGCCGTCGGCTCCTCACTGGGGCCCTGACGCCGGCCCGGCTCTGGCCGTCTCTCCGCAGCATCCACTCCTCTTGGGACTGCGGCCTGTTTGCCAGCTACTCAGCCCCCTGGCAGGTGGTCCCGGAGCTGGTGGCCCTCCGGCTGCCGCCCCTCGGCCAGCGCGCCCTCCACTACCTGGGCTCCCAAGCGTTCAGCTTTCCCCTCCTCTTCCTGCTCAGGTACCTCTCAGGGTAGCAGGGGTCAAGGGAGGGGACATCTGGGGGGCAGGGGTCCTTCCATGGGCACCCACAGCCAGCCTCATGGGATCCAGGAGCCAAAGAAGGAGAGCCCAGGGAGGCAGGGGCCCGGAATAGGGAGCATGAGCCCCAAGGCAGGGGGCCTGGGGGTCCCTCCCGTCCCATGAGCAGCCCCCTTGGGGCCTCATCTGTAAATGGGGTACCTGACCTGACCAGGGGGAAGCACAGTGCCTGAGAGCCTACAGTTGCTATTGTCATTTGGGGGGGGCTGATCATCGGTGAGAGGAAGTCCCGTCTGCGAACCCAGGCAGAGGGGAGACCCCAGGAGGTGGGGAGGGAGGAAGGAGGGGTCGCTGACCTTGGACCCCCCTCTATCCAAAGCCTTGTCCTGACCGTGTGCGTCTCCCAGTCCCAGGCCAAGGCGAGGGCCATCCAGGGGCTCCGGAAGCAGCTGGTGTGGGTGAGTGTCAGCTGGGCTGGGAGGGGCCCCCGACTGCGGGCGGGACGCTGATGGGAAGCGTGGGAAGTGGGGGGAGGGACGGGCTG